AGACTACATGACTTTCTAAAAAAACGTATTACTAAGCCAAAAACTAAATTTAGGGAGAGAACAGACACATCTCCTGTGCAGAAGAATTCCAAAGAATTTCTGTGGATTCTCCCCATCCCATCTCAGGAGAGAGAGTGTTCCTCCCACCTGGTCACGGCTCCCGGAGACACCTGACAAACACCACAGGCAGGTGACCCAGGGAGCTTCACCTTTGATACAGTCTGACCAGAACTTGTCCCCAAACCCATCAGCCCAGCGTCATCACAAGGAAAACAACAGCCAGGTCCCAAGAGAGGGACATCGTACCAGACAGCTGGCCAACTCTCCCTGAGGCCAACGGGTCAATTGAAAATGGGACGTCTCAGAAATCGTCTTGGCCCACATGAGCCGAGGACATGTGAGGACTCAGCATCCTGCAGTGAGCTGGTCAGGACCCTGGGACCGAGCGAGGACATGAGGGGTCACTCCGTGACCCGAGTTAGGGGAAGGGTGGGGGTTTCTCACCATTCAGGGACCACCTTGGATTCCCTGAAGCACCTGGAGTGGCTGGGACCTTTTAGGGCTGGGCTGCCCATGCTCTTGGGGTCCTGGCTTCTGTACAGACCCAGGGCCAGGCTGGGATATAGACAATACAGGCTGCTGCAGACCAAGGACCAGAAGACCTTCCCCAGAGTGTGTTGGACCCCAGGCCTCACAGAGGAAGAGGGCTGTCCCACAGATGAGATTTAATTTGTTGTCATCTGATGGGGCAGCTCCTGGCCCAAAAGCCCACCTGTCACAGAGGCCCAGGGACCTTGCCCAGAAGTCAGTGGCCGTGACTGGTCCAGGTGGGACAAGCGTCCAGAGATGAGTGTGGCCTGTTGAGTCTTTATTCACGTTCTGTGTGTAATAAAACTGCTTCATTGCAGAGATATTGATGGGTTTGACCACAGGACTTCCCACCCCCGAGGATGTTGGACAATGCACCCCTCGTGTGTGTCTTCCTGAGCTTTGTGGGCATCCAGCTGGGGTTTCACTTGCAGTTGGGGGTCATCCAGGTGCTGAGGAGACAAGCTCCTATCTGCTGGGACTCAGGGCTAAGGCTTCTTAAGGAAGACAGGCCTGGATGGGCGGACATCCCTGGGAGCGTGGACCTTCCTGACGCAGGAATGGATCTGGGCAGGCAGTGTGGGCCATGGGTGTGTGCTACAGGGCCCGCCTCGAGGGAAGCTGTTTGATAATATGACAATTTGCTCCTGTGGGTTAGTTATGGCTTTATTCACACAAAGGTTTTCAATTCACACCATAAATCATCCACCGACATGCCACCTCCTGCATCCCATTTTGTTTACCTAAAGCCATTTCACGGAACCGACTTGGAGGTGAGGAATGTGTGCATGTTGCTGGGTGTTTAGAGGGAGATTAATAGATTATTAGCAACTCCTGTAATGAAAACATTACGCAGGCCTTGCAGTTGGCCATGTCCTGCTCATTTGCTGCCTGCTAATTGCTGTGGTACACAGGGTCTGTTGTGAGGTGAGGTGCCATCCATAACCCTGGCCACACTGATTAACGTGTAATTGCTTTAATGAAATTCTTATGGAATAAGGCACAGTTCAAACAAAACATTGGCTTTACAGGGGTTGATTTTCCTGGCCAATTATAGACATGACTATGGAATCTCTAGGTGTTCCTTCTGGTGAATTCACGGAGGGAACATTCCAGGAACTGTGCTGGTCTCACTCTGCTGGTTTGAACCCTCCAGTCTGACCATAGAATCTGCTCAATGGTTAAAAAACAAAAACAAAAACAAATCCACAAAACTATGCAAATCCTACCCACTCTCTGGCATCCTTGGTAGGCAGGGGCGCTCCTGGGGGTCAGGGTGGAGAAGGGAGGCCTCTGAACCACGAGTTCCCAGGGCCATCTGCATCCTGACCCCTGGCCTAAAGAGGCCAGAGGCTCTCCTCCCCACTTGCAGCTGTGGGTGTTGTGGCCGCTGGGGCCAGAGAGCAGCCGCCTCTCTCACCAGCGTGGCTTTTAGAGCAAAGAAACGTGAACAAGAGAGCTGGGTCTGGGTTACAGCACAGACCTTTCACATCTGACAAAGCCCTCTTTTCTTCTCAGCTTCAAGCAGGCACTGGGCTCCTCTGGGACTCAGTCTCCCCATCTGTAAAAAGGGGCCACAACATGCTGTCCTGTGTGACTGTTGGCCTTGGCCGCTGACAGCCTGGGCAGTTGATTACCTTTGCCGGGGTCCCAGTTCTAAAAATCTGACTCTAATGGTCGGCCGATGAGTGGACTGCCCTCCTCTGGGGATCCCTGCCCTGCTCCTGCTGGTGGGTATGGACCACGTGTTCCCTGGCCACCCCCACGCTTGTAGCTCAATTCACAACCCTCCATCTGTCCCTGGGCAGCTGGAAGCCTGTGGACAGGGCCCACCTGGGTGGCCCTGGCTCTGCAAGAGGTAATGGTGGCATCCGAGGCAGGTTCTGGGGCTGGAGCAATGGCCGTGAGTGTCCACCCCGTGAGTTACCTGATGTTCCATAGGAAGAATGTCAAGTTCATGGGTGGCCATGTGGTTACTAGTGTTTAGTACATCACGCTGTGGACATGTTGTCCATACAAGTTTTTCCATCTTAGGAAGCCAGGCCTCACTGGTCCTCACTGGACCCTGGATGCTGGCCTGAGGTGGGGCAGGGAGGCAGGGAGGGCCGGGTGCACAGTCCACTCACTGATGATGGAGCAGGACTCTTCCTGGGAGAACCCGGGATCACTGCCCTGGCCAATCTGCCCCTGGAAGGTTCACACCTGTGAACAAGGAGGCCCCCCTGCTCCATGAGAGGACATGGTGGGTGTGGGGTGCATTCCTGAGGGCTGTCCGCCCGGGCTCTGGACGTGGAGTACACACTGCACACAAGGCCCCCAGCCCTGTCCACCCTGACCTTGATGCCCTGGGATGCCACCTCCACGGGCTGTGCCGGACCCCAAACATCAATTCCGAAGGACACCTTGGGAGCAGGGCAGGCTCCGCACACATGGCACTGGGGCACTGGGGCCAGGACAGCAGGTGACGTGACCCCCCCACCCCCATCCCAGCCTGCTGTCCGCTGAGGGTCTGGGGCACCAATTCTGGCAGCCCGAGGCCGTGTTTCTTCGAGGACAAACTTGAGGCAAAGAAGGGGTGTCAAGGCCCCCACAAAGGTATATTGGGGTCTGTGGGCGGGACAGGCAGGTGAGTCTGGAGCTGGGAGCACTGGGTCCTGTCTGAACACAGCTTCTGGGGCCTCAGGTCTGAGCCTGGCCAGGGGTCTGCAGGCCTCACTGGCCCCCAGCGGCTGGCTTGGGGCCACCATTTGCACGAGCAGCTCTGTGAGATGTGTCCGGCAGCTGCGTGCATGTGTCCATCAGCATGTCCCTGTCCTTCTGGGCCCAGGGTCCCAGGGGCTAGCCCCCAACTGCCACACCTGGCTGCTCTGAGCCGACCACCCCATCACCCACCCCCTTAGTGGGGAACTGAGGCCTGGGGAAGTTGCCCAAGGTAACGGCTAATTAGCGGCTGAGTGCGCCTGCGAGGTTCCATTACGACACCTGCCTCCCACACGGACAGTAATTGGACAGCTCACTCGAGGCCCCGCCGGCACCGCTCAGATGTGCCTCCCACCTCCCTTGTTCCCCGCCAGGTGCGGGCTCCCCAGCACTTCTGTGCCCTGGTTACACGTCTGAGGGCTGCGTCCCGTCCCGGGCTGGTTCCCACCTGCTCACTCTGGTCTCAAGGGGCCCCAGCCCCTCAGTGCTCCCTTTCAGAGTCAACAGGCTGGGGGCACCTCGCTTCTCCTGGCAGACGTACCTGAGGGGGCGTGAATGCGGGCAAACATGCAGGGTCTCATGCTCTGGGGGCGGCCAGGGCCACTGAAACCATTGACTCGACGGAAGCCACCCAGCTGGGCCCTGCAGAGTGTGGGGCAGGCAGGGCCTCCAAGGCGAGGCAGGCCCCACCCAGGCCCACTGCATCCCAGACCTCTCAGAGGGCATCTGTGGGGCAGGGGCAGCCTCCTGGAACCCAGCTGCCAGGCTGACCCCCCATGCCAGCGGGGCACACAGAGCTGCCTTTGTGTGGCTGCAGGGTGGGGCCTCGGGGGCTGCTGGCGGGCTTGCCTGGAGCTGACCTCGTGCCCGCCCGAGGGGCTCAGGGATGAGGGAGGGCCCTGGGGGGGGTGGTGATCAGCCACCCTGGCTTCTCTTGCTGTACATCCTCCGCCACCCAGGCCGGTTTCTCTTGAAATGTTTTGAGATGAGAACCTGGGTCGCTCAACAGATGCCCAGCTCTGTCGTGGGGCCTGGGTCCTCAGTTTGGCCGAGGATGAGGACAGGCAGGTGGGCCCTGTGGACGTGGAGCACGGGGACCTGCCAGGGGAGGTGTCACAGGGCTCCCACCCCTCGGGCCCAGGGAAGGTGTTGGCTGAACGAGGACCTGCCTCGGAGCCTGGCCACTGGGAGTGGCCCTTGCACCTGTCAGCACGGGTCTGCTCAGAACAGCACCGGGACTGCAGGGGGCAGCAAACCCGCCCCCAGGCTGTGACCCCGCCCCCAGACTGTGACCCCGCCCCCATGCTGTGACGTCATAAAGTCGGACCGTCTCCCTCTGTCCTGACCTTCAACAAACAAATTTCAGAGCTGTGTTAGTCCAGGGCCTTTAACAACTGAGTGTAGAGATAGGCTTCAGTCCTGGATTTACCAGGATGGGATGGACACGGGCATCACATGGGACGTGGGCAGGGTGAAGCCGGTTCTGGGGGTGCTTGTCCATCAAAGGCAGGAGGATGCCAGAGTCCCGTGGGGTCATGGCTGTGACCTCCCAAAGAGGTGGTCCAGTCGAGTTCAGTGGGAGCGCAGTTGGGGACAGGGTGCTGTGGGGTGCAGTGGATGCTTTGGAGGTGCAGTGGGTATAGTGGGGCCCAGTGGGGTGCATTGGGGTGCAGGGTGTCGTGGGTACTGGGGTATAGAGGTACAGTGGGGGTCAGTGAGGTATCTGGGGTGTCCCCATGGTGCTTCTCTGTCCCTCCGTGGCTGGCTCATAGATGCTCTGCTTCACTGCAAACACAGTTGGAAGTGGGTCTCATTTCCACCTTGAGCAGGTGACTGAGCCCCCTTCCGACTCCTCCCTGAGCCAGGCCACAAACCTGGGAAGCAGCCAGAGGAGCCCCTAGCGGTGGGTCAGGGGTCATGGGCGCCTCAGAGGGACTGGGACATTACAGATAAGACAGGTTCTGTTCACTGTTCTTTAGGGTTTGTCTTCTATTTCCATATTTTCTCTCTGATCTTCTCATCTCCTCTGTTCAAGGCGGGTTTGTTTTGCTGACTTTTCCATGTTTTCATCAGCCTAGTTTCCTATTTTCAGCTTCTCTGGGTTCTAACCCTGTGACAGTTTTATTTTCCTTTTCCATATCTTTCCTAAATTCTGCTACTTAATTTTTCCTTTCCTTCAGTGTCTCAGCAGTTCTCCACGAGCTCTTGTATCTCTGCTTGAGCTCTTATTGAAAGTTAAGTGTGGCCCTCATTGAGTTTATGTCACTAAGTCAACATGATTTCATCCACCCTGGGTATTCTTTGATGGTACGTGTTCCTTGCCGTTTGTTTTTTCATCCCTTTTCCTTGCTTCCTGCAGTATCTTTGAATGAATCCTTTTGGATCATTAGTCCTCACTGAACATGGTGAGTTCTCTGCAGACTGTCCATTTGCAAGAGGTCCGGGCGGGAGGGGGTCAGAGCAGTGCCCTAGGACTGATGGCGTAGCCTGGCTCTCAGCAGAGCCTCACAGATCTGCGCACCTGGCGGGACCACTCACCTGGCTGTACCTGGACCTCTGCCTGCCGCCAACAGAGGTTAGTCCTGCAGGGGAATCACTGTGTGGGCTCCTCCCTGCTCACCTCACCGACAGCCCCCTGCATGGGTTTCCTTGTCAGCCCTGCATCCCCGTCCCCTGGCATTAAATATGGTTAGGGATGATCCCTTAGCCAGCCCGTGGCCCTGGTCCCATTTTCCATCCCAGGATCACGAGCTTTGATGTCAGGGTATCTACCTACGTGCAGAATTCAGTGTCCTGCATTCTCTACCTGAGTAATCCTGCCCCAGGTCTCTTCTGAGCCTGTTTGCAATCCTGGTACAATCTCTGAACGGTGGTGTCTCCCCATGCGGAAGGTTTAAGATTCCCAGTGCCTGCAGTTTGGTCAAACACAATGTTTGTATTTTGTCCTTGTTTTCCTTGTTTCCAAGCAATTTTGGTGAGGACAAACAACTGAGACCTTCTACTCTCTGTTTTAAGCTGAAAGTCAGTACCTAACATTTTTTCAGCAGTTACCAATTTATGTCTAATTCAGTCTATGACATGAATTCCATGGTTGTCAACAGAATTTGCATGGTCTGTACAAAATGCTCAAATGAGAGAAACCTATTTGGGCAGAAGAGTGGACACTGGGGGACTCTGATGTGACCAGTGCACGAGGCAGTTTGCACACCCCAGGCCCTCGGTCAGGGACTCTGAGTTCATGGTATTTCTGCATCATCTCCCTGAGCCACTGTTTGGGTCAAGCTCCACTTCCCGTGGTGGTAACTGACTCAATAAACCCAAAAACCTCTCTGCTCAGCTCCACACCCTTCCCCTGCTCTGCGGGGTGGTCTCCCAAATCCACTTTGGTTCTAACTTGGTCTCATGGTCCAGTCTGCGGTGTCCAGATCACAGGCCTCTTGTGCGTTTGCTCCTTCTGAGGTGGACAGATCCCGCCAGGTACAGGGGATGAGCTTGGTGTTGACCTGTTTGGCGGCCTCAAGTGCTATGAGCAGTTGTTTAGAACCTGAACTCCAGGTCCTGTGGCCCCGTGACATTGGACCCACAGGAGTTGAAAAGGAGGACATGGTGGCCGTGAGTCAGTGGCCAGGTGGATTGGGGCCCTGCTCTGAGGTTTCCAAAGTAAGAAGGATGCATTGCAGCCCCGCCTGGAGATGTCTGGGGAGCTGTCTGGAAGAAAGATTGCAGCCTGGCCATTTGGGGAACCTCCAGAGAGCAGCCTGGTTCACGTGATCAGGAAGCCAGGGCTCTGAGGAGTGAAAGCAACCGGCTTGCACCAGCCCCGCGGGGCTCATGGGAGGAGCCTGGAGAGGAAGCCCAGGGAGGCGCGGGGCACGGGTGCTGGTGCCTGGCTTGCTCATGCCTCAACCACAGTCCTGCCCTCGGCTCTCAGCGGGCGGGTGTGGCTATGCCAGGCCTCCCTGCTGCCCTGAGCAAGGCTTCGAGAGGCAGCGGAGAGACAGGAACGAGGCGGCGACAGCGCCAGCGGCAGCCTGTGGGATGGTTCTCTCTCATCGCCTGGCTCTGATGCTCCAGAGCAGCATCTCTGACCCTTGCTCCATGGCCCTCAGGCTGACTCTGCAGTGTGCGTCGTGCTCTCGAGCGTGCTGGGTAGCACCCTGACCTGCAGCCTCCAGACACCGGTGTGCAGAGGTGCCTGTGTCCAAGGGGTCAAGGGCCGTGGGGCAGGGTGTGGTCAGGCCTCCCAGAGCATGGGCTGGGGACGGAGCAGGCGGGTGCAGCCCACACCTGCCTGTTTTTATGGAATCCTCTTCACTTTCCCCCTGTCCTTGGCTCAGGACGGGGCTCGGGCAGTTAGAGGCCTGGTTTCATGTGAGATTTCTTGTCCTCAGCTCTCAGAAGTTCTGCTCTGAATCTGAGAGATGACTAAGGAGGGGCCAGAAACAGCCTTCCATTAGGCCTGGAGGGAGAACAGCCGCTCCTGCTTCTTGGCGTGTTTGCCTAGGAGCCTTGGACATGCTTCTGGAGGGCCTGGCCTCCTCCCAAGTGGTGCGTCTTTTCCGGGAGGGAGCCAGGCGGGAGAGGGGCCTCCCAAGGGTCTCCCTCCAGCTTCTAAACTGAAGCCCAGGCAGCCTGCGGTCGAGAGCGGGGCGGGCAGGTTGGCATGAAGACAGAGGGGCCCTGTCGCAGGAGAACAATGCATTCAAGATGTCGCTGAAAGACGGTGTTTGCAAAGGTTGCTACAGGACACGCGGCGCGGAGAATCCAAAATAGAGCGTCTAGACAAACTCCTACTGTCTGACCTTTCCCGTGTTTCCTCATCTGCCCGTCTTGCCAAGAGAATGGGTGACTAAGCAGCGGTTCTGCGGACGCCCTGTCACTGGCCTGACGAGGCCCAGGTCGCTGTCATAAATTTCAGTCTGGCTGCCTGGCGACGGGGCTCCTCCACCGGTGGGGCTGCTGTGCGGTTTCCGAGCTGCCATGTGTGTCTGGATCGTCGTGAACTAATTTCAAGCCTGCCGCATCCAAGAGCCACAGGGCGACCGAAAGTCAGAGCTCGCCTCCCTCCAGCAGGACCCCTGAGTGTACCTAAGATGTGAAGAGGGAGGCGGGCAGGCCAGGGAGACAGAGAGAAGGTTGGTGGCCGCCAGGCCTGTCCTGGGTTGGGGAGGGGCTGCCGGGGCGCGGAGTCCAGGCCTCTGCACACCAGCCTGGAATGCTCTTTCCCTACCAGGCCCCACTGGCAGCTGCCCTGGGCCTCCGAGAGCAGCCGCGTCTGGAGCTCTGAGGCCAGAGGAGAATTCACTCCACAGGCAAATGCTCGCCTTGGCAGAACTGGAGCCTGACCAATGCTTCCTGAACCAGACGGCTTCGAGGGTCAGGGCTTTTCCGACTGGGGCCAGTGGGCATTCACCCCAGGATTCCCTGGGGCCGGAGACGTGGACCTCAGAGGACAAAGGTTTGAGAAAACAGTTGCAAGCCTCCCGTGGACACATAGCCTGGCCACCCGTCGGACCGTCTGGCCACGCAGGTGGATGCACGTGCCCTGCAGACACTCCGTGGGTGCTTCCGCTGGGATGGGCCTCTGGCTTTAACAGTGGAGACTGAAGAAAGACTGGCCTTGTTTTGCTGGAAAAGGTGATGCTTTGCCAGAACAAAGCTGGTGCGTGAAGCGTGCGTGGGGCAGCTGCATCCTGGCAGTGGCACCGACTGGCCAGATGCTGTGGACCATCCGAAGGGAAGAGACACTTGACACAGACGGCGTCATGCGTGCTGAGGGCTTGGGCAGTGCTCCTGAGCCGTCTTGTCCCGCGCCTCAGTTCTGGGGCGAGTGTGATCTCAGCTGCGGGTGTTTTGTGGCCAATGCGTGTCCTGAACACGTGTGATCTTTACATTGATTTTCTACAGATGTAGGAAAGGGAAATTTCATGGCATCTCGGAGCAAAGTAAGCTTCATGAACGCCATGGTGGGAGCCTGTTAAGAAGTCTGACCCTGACAACAGAGAAGTGGGAATAACCCTGAATTTCTCACAGGCTCCTGGGGTGGGGCCTGGAGGCCCTGCGGGAGAAGAATGGGAGCCTGGTAACGGGCCACCCCTAGGGGCGGTCAAGACCTTGGCAGGGGCCCACCTGCCTGCCTGTTCTCCCACCGCTCAGGAAAATCAGAGCCACGCTTGGAGCCAGTGTCAGTGCCACGGTGGCAGTGCTGGCCCTTGGAGTGGGGCCAAGAGGCTCTGGTCAGAGCTCTGGGGGGCTTCTTTCACCAGCAGACCAGAGGCCCAGCGACCCCTGCAGCCCCGTCACCACACTGCCCTTGAGGCAGCTTCTCCACATGCCTTTCCCAGCCCACCTGGAGGACTGCCCGACTCTGGGCACTGCGCTCAATATGCTCCCCAGTTCTGTTCCCTCAGGAGATGGACTTAACTGGCACGCCAAGGTCACACCTCAGTTTCTGGCACAACAGTCCCACATAGCTTTAAAAATGACTAACTTCCTGATTCGCAAATGCACCCTGAAGCTACAGTTGTCAAAACAGAGTGGTCCTGGCACAAAGCCACCCATGACGACCCGAGGACAGAACTGAGAGCCCAGAAATAAACCCTCATGTGTGAGGTCACATGGTTCTCAAGGAAGCTGAGGCCATTCCTTGGGGAGGACAGTCTTTTCAACAAGTGGTGCTGGGAAAACTGGACATCCACATGCAAAAGAATGAAGTTGAACCCTTACCTCACACCATATACAGAAATTAACAGAAAACAATCAGACCTAAAATTGCGAAAATCTTGGAAGAAAACAAGACAAAAACGTCATGACATTGGGTTTGGCTGTAATTTCTTGGATATGACACCAAAGGCACAGGCAACACAGCAAAATGGACAAATTGAACTTCAAGAAAATTTAAAAAAAATTGTGCATCAAAAGAATATTAACAGAATAAAAAGACAATCCACTGAATGGGAGAAAATATTTGAAAATCATACATCTGAAAAAGGATTAGTATTCAGGACATAGAGAGAACTCCTAAAACTCACCGACAAAAAACAAGCAACTGGATTCAAAAGTGGACAAAGGACCTGAATAGACGCTTCTCCAAGGAAGTCACACAACTGGCAATAAGCACATGAAAAGATGCTCACCATCTCTCATTAGGATGAGACACTACTTCACACCCGTTAGAATGGCTATTATCCCAGAGCGAGAAACCAGTGCGGGCAGGGGTGTGGAGAGATGGAACCTTGTGTGCTGTTGGTGGAAGTGTAAAATGGTGTGGCTGCTGTGCAGACAGAATGGCAGTTCCTCAAAAAATTAAATGTAGAATAACCCCCAGAAACCCCACTTCTGGGTTATACTCAGAAGAATTGAAAGCAGGGTCTTGAGCATATATTGTACACCCGTGTTCATAGCGGCATTACTCTCAACAGCATTACTCACTCGTGGAAGCAAACCAAGTGTCCATCGACAGGTGAACAGATAAACAAAATATGGTGACAGACACAGTGGAATATTATTCAACCTAAAAGGAGGTGGAAAGGGATTTTCCTGGTGGACCAGGCACTAAGACTCCATGTTCCCAATGCAGAGCCTGGGTTCAATCCCTGGTCAGGGAACTAGATCCCAGGTGCGCGACTAAAAGTTCTCACGCCGAAACTAAAGACCAGCACAGCCAAACGAACAAATGAAAGTAAATATTAAAAAAAGGAGGAGGAAATTCTGACTCAGGCCACAGCAAGGGTGAACCTGGGGGACATTGTGCTCTATGAAGTAAGCCAGCCACGAAAGCACAGATACTGCATGATTCCACCTGTATGAGGCACTTAGAGTTGTCCAGTCTTAGTAGAATGGTGGCACAGGGCTGGGGGTGGGGTGGGAGTGAGTGTTTGGTGGGTGCAGTTTCAGTTTTACGAGATGAAAAGAGTTGTGGGGACAAAAGGTGGTGCTGGCTGCACAGAAACATGAAAGTACTTAATTCCACCAAACTGTGCTCCAAAAATGGAGGTGGTGGTAAGTTTTATGTGTCTTTTGAAACAAATTTTTAGATGAGGGGAAGTAACCTGTGTAAAAAAAGCATTTGTTCTTGACTTTGTTGTTGTTGACATATTTACTGTTTTGAGAAGACATAAATGTAATGTTTTGCAAGTTTTCTCAGATGTCAAAATTTCATAGTTCTGCTTGCCTTTTCCGGTAGTATGTTTTCCTGTGTGTGTTATAATATGAGTTATTTGAAAGAAACTGACATTGTCCAAAATACAGAAGTCCTTTGGAAACTTTGAGGCAGGACTTGGACTGCAAAGGGGTCATCCAGAGCAAGCACTGGTCCTTGCTCTGACCAGGAGGGCTGGGTTAGTAGGGGGCTGGAGCTGGGGCAGCTGGGACTCCCAGGCTCTTGGCTCCATCTGTCTGGTTTGTGTACAAAGCTGTTTCTGCGGAGGAGCTGGGACTGTGGCTGGGGAACGCTTTGTGAAAGAGGACAGGAAGTTCTCCAACTAAAGCTTCTTGGTTCCAAACTTTCCTTGCTGCCCCTTCTCGGGCTGCACCAACAGCTACTTGGGTGCCCCCCTGAAGTAGTGGGCAGGGGATGGGGGGGTCCAGCTCTAAACTCCATGCCTGACCTCTTCAGCAGAGCCCACTCCAAGAGCTCAGACCAGCATTGTAATTCCCTGGCCTTATTCACACTAATGCGTGAATGACTGATGGCCTTTTAATAGTCCACACAATTTGCATTTTTAGAATAGAATCCTATTTACCCAAATAGGTCTCTAATTGGCTGCATTCCTGGGGCTTACTTGGAAACTTCAAGGGGCAGGCCCTGGAAGAGGGATGGAGTCGGCGTCCATCTGCCCTTGTGATAGCCTAACTCTGACTCTCACCTGCCCCCTGCACACCCGAGAGAAGGTGGCAAGAACTGCAGAGGGCTCTTGAGGGCTGTTGGAGCAGGGAGTTTAGCACCGAGCATGATGCAGCTCAGGGAGCAGCCATCTAGGGAGCCATGGCCTTGGATCCAGGGCCTCGCTCATCCTGACGCATCCCACCCCGGGCCTCCCTCCCAGGAACCCCCACCTGAAAGCATGTCCTCTGGGTGCGGGGTCTGTCCTGTGCCCTCTGCTGCAGAGGGGCAACTGTCCTACCTCCACACCCCGACCCCTCTTGTGTCCCAGCCCACCAGCCGGCACAAGTCCATCCCAAGCTAGAGGGGTCTGGCCCCCCCTTTCTGTCAGTTCCTGTTTTCTCCCTGGTCATCCCATCCCAGGCCCTTGGCTCAAGTCCACCCTCAGCCATGGCACTGTGTGAGTATCCGTCTTTTCCTTTCGGCCAGTGTGCCTTGAGCACTTGCAGCGTCCTCAGTCCATGTCAGTGAGCGGAGTGACTGCAGCCCCTGCGCCCAGCCTGCTCCTCCCCCAGCCCGCCTGGTGGCCCATGGCTAAGTCTCGGAAGCTAAATCACTGTGACAGTTTTCAGCAGAAAGAGATTAAAGACAGAGTCACCAGACGGTCTCAAGGGCGACTCTGCGCCAAGTTCCAGGGCTGCCCCCAGGCACTGAGCAGCCGGGACCCTCACCCAGAGCTGTAACCCCCCCAGACCCCATGAGCAGATGCCAGCAGCCTTGCCAGACCTGGGAAGTGCCCTGCACGCCTGCCGCCAGACCATTCTCCCAGCCTCCAGAGACCAACCCCAATGTGGCCCAGGTGTGCACGGGCCAGGAAGAGGCTGGACCCCTCTTCCTGGGCTGCATTCCTGTCCCACTCTTGCCCATATTCACACACCTGCTCTTCCACCATGGAGAGTCTCGTGATTTTTAGAAGCCAGATGCTTGACCACTTGTTGCTTTTACACAGCACACAGGGGAATGCTTCTCCCAGGAAAACTCCTCAACATCCTTCAAAGCCCCGTCCTGCAAGACTGGGCCTCACCGCCCCCGGAGTAAGCATTCAGGCCAGCAGGGGAGCATGTGGCCAGATGTGTGGACCAGTGTCCTCAGGCCCGGGCCTCCTAGGGGTCCTGCAGAGCTGGAGTTGGCCAACTTGGGATGTGGATGGGGAGCCTGGGCAGACTGGGTGCATGGGTGCCAACTCCTCTGCCCCAGGCTGGCCTGAGAGCCCTTGGCGGTCACTTTCCCTGGACGTTCTGGGCCCCGCCTGCCCCCACTCTCTGTTGGACGCCTGGCAGTCCTGGGAGGATCTGCCCTGGGCAATCACGGGGGCGGGCAGGGTCCCCAGTAGTCCATGTGGGGAGTCCCATCCTGCTGGCATTGGGGGCTGGGCCCCTTGGTGACCTGACCCCCTCCACAACGTCCAGGCCTGACGACGCACCAGGATGTGCTGGTGGGGACGTGGCTGCCAAGAGCGGCCGCCAGCTGGAGGTGTCACTGGCGCCTGCGTCCCCAAGGCTGGCCTCCGGCTCACCAAATACCTGGGCTTAGAGTGATCGCCTTTCTTCCCTCTTGGCAGTGGCTGGCCCCGGGGGTGGCTCTGTTTGGACGGCTATCTCCCTGAGTCGTTGAGCACAGATGGGGGAGAAGGCAGAGTTGCAGACTTGGGTTTTTCACCCTCTTCTCGTTTCGGTTTATGTGAGCGAATGACTTGCAGCTGCTTCAAAGGGATTCCACTCCCCCATCACTGTATTTGCCATCCGTGCTGGTGGGGGAGTGGGCCGGCCAGCACAGCTGGAGCAAATTAAAATCCACCTATTCAAGCTTGGCATCCGTGAGCCACGCACACCCACCATACACACAGACTCACACAGCTCCGCCAAGAGTCTTTTCATGGCAAACCACAGCTGCATGTGAAAGGCCTCCCAGTTTAGGCCCGATCCTCAGATCAGCCCCAAACAAGGAGCTCTGTGTTCTTGGGACCTCTCTCCCTCCCTCGCCTGACGTGCACCCCACGTGTTCCTCCCCACCTGCCAGGGCCAGCCCCAGTCTGTCGTAGGCATGTGCTTTTTCACTACTGCTCATTTGAAACCTTTCCCCTGAATTGTTCCACGTGGAGGAAGCTCCCCACTGGAGCCTCAGCCAAGGGTTTCCCACAGGCCCGCCCCGGACACGCTGGCGAGACCAGAAGCGTAGGGTGGCTTCCCTTGGCGGGTCTCACCCACCGAAGAGGAGCAGGATGAGACAATGGAGACGCTCAAGTAAACCTTTCAGTGTCAATGTGACGAAGTGCCCGAGGCAAGTTGACTGGGATTTGTTCTCCTGGATCTGAGCAGGACTTTCCTTTTTTAAAAAGCTTTTTGCATTTATCATCATCTCTCAGCCAGCACTGAGGTGCCTGGAATGCGTAAGAGAGTATTTTTCCAAACTGAAAATCTGAAGTAGAAGCACCAATAAAAACAATAAAACCAGATCCCAGATTTATGAACATGTTTTTTCACCTTCTCCCTGCCTCCCTCTCTGTCTCTCTCACTTTTCTTTCTTCCAGTTAACTTGGGATGACTGAAAATGAGCAGCTTCCGCCTGGCGGACTGGGTACCCGTGTGTGGTGCCCCTTTGTCCGGCCCCCGCCCTGCCCCCGGGCAGCCCCGGGAGACCGAGACCCCTTGGCCTCATTGTGGGCGGCCGGGCAGGGCTGGGTGGGGGTCTGCCCTCGCCTGTGAACAGCTGTTTCGGCCGCTCTGAGGGAGGTCACTTTGGGAGTGAACTCAGACACTGCAGACTGCGGGGGAAGGCGGTTCAGAACCAGGCTCCTCACTCTGTTTTTGCACCTTTGCACACAGCTCCTTCCAAAGGCCTGCTTGGCCATGGCAACTGCTCTATGGCCCCTTGGATTCTTCCAGAAGGTGTCCCCATCTTGACCTCTGAGCCCTGTGCCCAGAGGGAGACTCTGGCCTTCATGGTCAGCACGGTGCCCGTGGCCCCTGCGGCCCACCTCGGCCCCCGCGGGCCTGTGCCCCTGGACGTGGGCCCGGGAGCCGGAGGCCCTGAGTCACAGTTCCCGCTCTCGCACCCAGGCCTCTGGGCCCCGCAGCGGCACCAGGCTGGGCGTGCTTCGGGGCCCACATGACATTTGCTCCCCGACCAACCCCGAGGCTCTTTCACTGGTAGGGATTGTTTGTTTGGGGGTGAAGAATTCCCCACAGTGGCCGTTTGCTTCATTTAATAGTACTTCTTTAGCTTAACAGACATCGAGGACTCCATTTCACGTATTTTGCACAAGCGGTCTGTAGAGCAGACCTACCTCCTCCCCCTGTGAGAAGCCAGAGCATAACGATCCTGCCGGAGGCACTGTGCCTCCAAGTTAAACACAGCATCACATTTGCTTTAATATTATTTTAAGTGAAGGCAATTAGGTCTGCAATTTAGTTTAATCTTTCACCAGATCCTATTTTTGAGATCCTAACCATTTAGGGGTTAAAACATTCATCCTTCTGTTTCCTTCCAAAGGGTGGGGACTGCTCAGTACGGGTGGCTGGAGACTGCCCAGCAGGCGGGTCTGTATGGAGAAGCAGGCACAGGCCCCTCTTGAGGCAGGGACGCTGGGCAGGTGTTAAAGGGCAGGCCTGGAAATCCAGGACCCCTCTTGAGGGCACCTTGTTCCCCTGGCCTCAAGGTCAGCAAGGGCTCAGGGAGAGTGGGTCAGTCTGTGGAGCCCGTGCCTGGAGGGGGAAGGACTGGGTGCTGGTGTTGGGGTGCTTATGTGCACCCCTGCATTTTGTTCTTTTCTCTTCCTCATACACACGGTAAGGTCCCCTTGCTTTAGACTAGTCTTTAAAAATCAGTGCATTGCTTTCTTTAGTTTTTAATTAAAGTGACACATTCTTTTACATTTAGATGCATTTTTATACTTAGAGTGACAATAGCCCCAGCAAAACAGTACAATGGTCACTCCCCTTACTCTTGCTCACTAAAGACCCCTGTTTCATTTCTTTAAACTTCCTTTTCATTTTACCTCCAATTAAAAAAAAATCAATTTTTTGTCAATTCACTGTCAATTTAAGATTTTTAAGATTTAACTTTTAAGATGTCAGCAATCTGCTGACGTGTTACTGTCAAAGGTGAAGGCTCAGGGTTTTGAACCCTCAGTTCCCCACACTGTGAGCACGTCCATGTGGAGGCTGCAGGGATGCCTGGCCAGGGACACCAGGACAGGCAGCACAGTTGTCACCCCTGGCATTGCCATCCTCCTCTTCTTCTAGACAAGAGACATCCTTTAACTTTTTAAGACTCACTTTTAAACTGAACAAGTTTACATAATACGAATAAACACACTTGGAATCTGAAACAAATCTCAGTCATCACATTGTTTCATCCGTCATTACCTGAGTTCCTGCCTCTTAGAGACGCGGGCTTTTTCTCAACATCACCCAACATCACTTTCATACCCAGCTGAGATAACCATCACCTTCAACATCCCACTTCCTCCAGTTTTCTCAAGACATCTTTTGTAGCAGTCACTGGCATGTGGGTAAATCTCCAGGGTCCCTGGCACCAGGTGTACTGCTGAGTGGGTGGGAAGGGCAGTGGGATTGGCAGCAGGGTCTGAAGCAACCATTTCAGACCACAAAGGAGGCCCAAGTGCTTAGGACAGTGAAACCACAGGGGATGGGCCTGGGTCCCCAGACAGTGAGACGCACCAGACTTTTTGCTGGTTCCATGTTTTCCTGGGGGATGTCCAACCGAGCATTCTGCTCTCACACACGAACCTGGCCACTGGAAATCTGTCGCCCAGGACATCGTCTCCCATGGTCCACAGAGCCCTTGGCCTCCTGCCGGAGCTGGGTACCCCATTCCTAGCCCCAGGCTTCCTCTTCCATGGTTCATGCTCTCAGGTGCCTGGAGCGCATCCTCTAGGAGCTTCCACACATGTCTGAAAGTAGCCTTTCCTTTGTGCTTGGTTGATAAAGCAGTTCCTAAAAAGGCGGGAGATGATTTTCCTAGAGAAACAGTCAAGCATTGCTCACCATCTCCTGGGTTCTGTGTTGCTATTTAGGGCTGCAGTGTCATTCTGTGACAATTCTGACTGCTCCCCTCCATGATCTGCATAGAACGTGCGATGTTCACATGAGCTGTGGCTTCCAGAAGCTGTTGTAAAGACTGGTGGATGGCTGGTGTTCTTTCTAACCTCCAGCATCTGGTGCTGATCCTTGACTGATGCTTTCCACCCTAACCCAAACCTTAAACCCTTCCCTGGGGTCCCTGCCGAGGGCTGGGGCTGCTCTGTCTTCGGTGAGTCTGGTTCTGGTCTGGTCAAGCCCAGTCCCCTTGTCTCAATGGCCTGGCCCAGACACCTCCCAGGTGTCCAACTAAAAGAGTCGGCAGTAGTTCCTGGACAGCTACCCAGGAGCCATGAGATGAAAAGCTGGACGTCATATCATCAAGATGCCGAGTGGGGCTCAAAGCTGCCTCCTGCTTGTTCACATCTGTTCACCCATGGCTTCAAATACAAGGACATTGTAGATATTCCTCCTCCAACAATGTGTGCACCTACACAGAAGACACAAATACTGTTTGCCTCAGCAGACTCAGAGTAATTACCTCCTTCTCCGAGGAATTCAGGGTTGCAGGGATTCCTAGGGCAGAAATACAGTAAGCTTCTTATCCAACCTGTTGGTGCCATTTGGTCAAAACACACCTGAAGGTACACTACAAGGTTCACAGCAAATTCCACAAATGGACCACCTGGGGATGGTGTGGCCCCGTGAGCTGGATGTGTCCCCAGTGCAGGCATGGAGCAGAATCAGGGGACGTGAGGAAACCCAGTTAGAAGCCTCGACTCTTCAGGGCTTCTAGGCCCCTAACCACGTGGTTTCTGTCATTCTGTTTGGGATGATTAACTTTGGAGTTGGATTGGACCTTGGAGATGTGTTGACTTGAATCTTAGTTTGTTAATTACTGAAGAAGTATTCATTTGGGGTTATTTGGAGAAGGGCACAATTTGATTTTGCACATTTAGAACACTTCTCAGGGCTGTACTGAAAAAAGTTATTAGCATAACAAGAAACTAAATTAAAATCTCATCCTTTAACTTGGCTTTGTGTACACTTTCTAATATTTACTTGGACCCTTTGATCATCTTGATCTGTTAGCCTGTGGAAGCACAGCTGTATCTGGTACAAGGTTTTAAGCAATGTTTATGCACCATACGTGGCAGCAACTGGAGTCTGCACAGAAAAGAAAGCTTTCAGATGGGTTATTTCTTAAGACCTGGTTTTGGACATGTGAGTGAAACAGGAGGTCATGAGGCCATGTGATGGGGAAGAATGTGAAATGCCACCCATGGCAGCAAGTCTGGCCCGCTGGAGAGAATGAATCACGGAGCAGGTGAAGAAGCAGTGCTTCCTGAGCTCCGGGGCACTGGGGCCTCCAAGTGCGACCTGTGTTCGTCCTCGCAACAGCATCAGGGCCTGATGTTGCTGCTGCCCCACTACCCAGGTGATACCAAGG